CCTCCTTTCAAGGGGTGATTATCTTTTCCTTCTTCTATAAATAAGATATACATTTCTTATTTTTCAGTACGATGGATGGTGCGATTCTTTTTTTTCTCTTTACTGACTTAATTCTCTCTCTTTATCAACTATTTTCCTCTTTTTTGATATTTCCTATCTCTTTTATTGTAGGTGAAGTCCTTATAGAAAAGAATAAGAGTCAATTATTGACTCTCAAGTATGTGGCTCTAATAAGAGCCATGAGGGTGGGTTATATAAAGTTTCTGAAATTGGCAAAAAGGACAACTCTGCCAGGATACCGCTAATAACGTTGAGTTTGGAATCCGCGGAAACGCGTGTGACATCAGCCAATTTGCCCAAGACCCCTCTCCCACCCCCACGTCTTTATACCGGACTCCGCCGCCGTGAGCGAGGGGGGATGAACCCCTCTCCACATTGAAGTGTGACGGGAGAGGCGCTTATGAGAGTTAAATGAGAACTCTTAGGTCGCAACGGTGTTTCCGGCGGACTTTATATCAACACCAGACGGGGGAAAAAGCCACGTGGGATTAAGTTCTCTTTGCAACCATGCCATATGCAACGTCTTCCCTCTCCACCGAGGTAGAGAATCAGTCGAGGCAACAACAGTTCGCTTTGGGCCTTCTCGCAATGTGCTTCATGATGGCGGAATTTCACCAACCAGCGCAGGCAGTCAGAAGCCTCCTCTTCGAGGTGTACTCAGCCTTTCTTTACCTCACCTTCATGGCGGCGGTCGTTCTCTCCGTAAACTCCCTCCGTCCCCCTGGAGGAGGAACCTGGATACAAAAGTGTGGGCAGCCCGTCGCCCTCGGTTCGGCTTCGGCAGCTTTTGTGCTCCGGTCATGCCTTGCCCTTCCTCCTCCCTCGCTACTCCGCGTCTGGTTTCTCCCCATGGCGCTCGCCATCGCGCTGCTCCTCGCCTCGTACAGGTGGAAGTGCCGCTCTGCCGCCCAAGACACCGTCGCCGGTCATCCGCGCCACCAAGAACCCAACCCCTCGTCTTCCCAGCTGCCGGACCTAGGCTCCTCACCATGTTACTCCTCGGGGCCGGAGGAGGGGAAATGCCGCCCCGGTCTGGGCACAGAACCTTCAGATGTCGTGTGATTCCCCCATGCAGTCCCTTCTTTTGGGCCAGCAATAATATTAATTTCTCTCTCTTTGTGAGATTACTGTGCACGCGGTTGACTCAAGGCCCCACTTTTTTCAATCTTCAGCGACTTCTGCTGCGACAGGGAGGAGGGATCGCCTGACTCAATAAATAATTAGTACAGACAAGTAAAAAAGGTATATAGCTTCTCTAACCTAATCTTTTAGAGAAAACAAGGGGCGTACCCTAGACTTTTCACGTACGGAGCTAGCTAATCCTCAAGCCCCTGTTTTGACTTTATCATAAAAAAAAATACTGTAAAACCCCGAATCCAACTCACCATATATCGCACCACTGATTTTTTTAAAGGGTTTCTTCATTCTAATTTCTCGCATGCTAATTGACTTACAAGTCCACAGAAGTGATCCTCGGGGTTGGGAACTACAAGCCCTTAAATGATCCGAAGGTGAGGTTTGGAGTGGAATATCTTGCACGCCAAGAAACTATTCCCCACCCCACCTTATCTTTAATACCCCCCCTCATTTTCACATAACCCCTCCCCCACGTTGAACTGTTAGGAGAGAGGGGGCGAAGTCGGGGTAAAACGATAAGAGGAGGTGGGGGAGTGTGAGAAAAATAGACGAGATGGGCTTCATCCCCACCGCAATTCCGTCACTTTCGTTCATTCCCCCTCGGATTCCCATCATAAAGGAAGGCGGCGAGTACGTGTCGGACTGCCGTACCTGCGCCGTCAGTTGATCTTTATATATAAATTCTGAAATAGTTGTAGGTCATAATCGTTCATGACACAGGTGAGTTTGGTGTTAAAGGTGAGTTAGACGAGGAAGAGTCGTTTTCAATTTTGGATTGCTAGCTCAATGCGCTACAATAATGCAACCAACATTTTTCTACGTTTAGTAGTGAAATAAAAAGCTTCACATAATGCCAACTTCTATGAATATAGTAGAGCAGACAAAGTTCATACCTACCTATCCAAGTGTTATTTGAGGGAAGATGTTGGTTCTTCAACTCTTTTACAAACTCTTCCCATGTGGAAGTAAGATCTCTAATCAAATCCCTCGTTAGAGTCCACCATAATATAGTGTCTCTTGAGATGTACATGATAGAGAATATTACCTTCAATGTTGGGATTTGTGCACCTTGAAGTATTAGTCAATATCATCACCCCAGGGACGACCTCACTTAATGCCGGATCTCTCCAAGGTTCGTCCGATTTTGCGCTATCTTTATATAAATTTCAGAGTTGTGAAAATAGTCTGCTTTCCCATCAAGTTGAGTATTTTTTTTTGTAAAATTATCTTCATTTCTTTATTTGATACTTCAACTTTAAGAGTGGTATGGTGTGGAAACTTTAAAAGTGACCCCATATTTTCCTAAGTATGAACTTCGATGTGGGATTAAAGGGCTCCCCCCGTTTGCAGCCATGCCATCTGCAACGCCCTCCTTCTCCACCCCGGCGGAGAATCAGTCCAGGCAACATCAGGTCTCGTTAGCGCTGCTCGCAATCTGCTTCACGATGACAGACACTCAGCAAGCAGTGCACGGGGGCATAAGCAGCCTCCTCTTCGAGCTGTACTTGGCCTTTGTTTACCTTACCTTCACGGCGGCAGTGGTCCTCTCCGTTTCTCTCCCTCCGCCCCTCTGGAGGAGGGGCTGCTCCGGCGATGGCCTTGATACAACAGTGTGGGCAACCCGTCGCCTTCGTTTCGGCTTCACCCGCTTTTGTGCTCAGGTCATGGCTTGCCCTTCCTCCTCTCTCGTTACTCCGCGTCTGGTTTCTCCCCATGGCACTCGCCGTCACGCTGCTTCTCGCCTCGAACAGTTGGAAGTACCGCTCCGCCGTCCAAGAGACGCCGCTCCGCCCGTCCTCGTATTTCCCGCTGCCGGACCTAGACTCATACTGTTCCCTCTCGGGTCGGGAAGAGAGGAAATGCAATGCCGGTCTCGGCAGAGAGCCGTCAGATGTCGTGTGATATCCTCGTGTATTCCCTTCTTTTGAGCGAGCAATAATACTAATTTCAATCTCTTTGTGAGATTCATTTGCACTCATTTGCATTCATTCTTCACCGACTTCCGCTGTGGTCATCGCGATGGTCATCCTTCCCAGAGACCAACTCACGGCGGCGGAAGCGAACGGCATCTTCGGCCGAGTTTGAAGAAAAATAATATTATGAGGATGGCCGACAAAACTCAGATTGTCGTTTAATGCTTGCCTTTTAAAGTTGCCATACTAAATGATTGTATTTAATGCCGAGATGAGAAATGGAGCGCGAAGTGGAAACCGTTTGGCACGTTTCCGAGATTCTTGACGAGCACGGTTACCGAGGTGAGTGTGATGTGAGTATATAAGAACCTATTATTCTTTTATGATTTTCTTGTGTCAATGAGGACAATGTTATTTTTAAGTTGAGCATTGAAGTATTAGTTCTTAATTTATAATATAGAATGATTAAGGATGTGTTTGCATTTTTTTCATGCTCACCTTTAAAAGTAAATAGAACAAATTTCAGAAAAATTATATCATCTATTTATAGATTTTTTGTTAGAAACTGCAGAAATTATATCATCTATTTAAAGTAAGATCTTTTGTCAAATCTCTCATCAGTCCACTGCAATTTGGTGTCTCTTGAGAGGAGCCTGATAGCAAGCATTGCCTTCTTTTCCTCCAATGTTTGTCCAAACTTGAAATACTAGTCAATAACCCAAAAAAAATTGTCGATCTCTTCAGGGTTCAGTGCCACTATGTACACCTTCTTAGACTTTGGGTCTTTGGTGCATCCTACCATACTCGTTGACAATGCACTTGTAACTATGCAGCTCATCAATCTATGTCCACTACAAAGGCCTCTAGTGTCTCTAGTAAAGTTTGTCACATCCGAGGTCACCCCTATTTCGTCACTAGTACATCCAATGGCCTCCACCTCTACGACACGTACATTCTTATTCCTCCAAATATTAGAGGTGGCTTTCAAACACATGCCGCAGCAGACACGACATTAAAAGCGCTCCTTCATGTAATAGAACCTCTTTGCCTGTAGGTGCTGCTTTCTCGTGCCATCGATCCCTTCTCTTATACGAATTTGTAATATGGGTGACTCCTTATCCATGCGCCATCTAATTAGATGACTGATGTTGAAGGTCTTACTCATCCAACAACCAAGCTCGCAAGAGTATCGCACACAAAACACACAAGCACTCTTTACAAAATCAGATTATATGAGATGTGTGAGGACATGACTGCTCAACCAAGTTGAAGTCTTCCCGTTTCATAGCGGGAGCACAAGCATATGAACGGTCACATGGCACTACCTCTTCTCGTCCTTGACTGACTATCTTCAACCATGCGTGTGTGTTCAGCTGAACCCTTCATTGAAAACAAGTCCAGTTGTTATTCCTTCTTTACTATTCCACGTATGGTTTATTGTCCTCGCCGTCAGATCCTCTTGGCTTGGAACAGCTGCAAGGACTGGCCCCGGCTACCTCGTCCTAGGCACCAATGGTGCCATCTCATTGAGCATCGCCCGCCATCAAAATCCAACCCCGCCGTCTTCAATCACCTTAATGCAAATAAACATGGTATTATTATGTCATGATTGATTACTTACAGCTTGAGGTTGTCCTGGCCAAACTGACGTTGACGAAGAAAAATCGGTGGATGCAGGTCAGAGGCTAAAAATGTGTACATCGTAGTCAGTCCAAGAAGAGGGAGGACCCAGCCATTAATGGGCTTTCAATTAGGCCGTTTAGGGCAGTTGCGCAGATAGAGAGAGAGAGAGAGTTCAAATTTTACCAACGACTAGATATCCCGCCCGAAGGAGCAGTTTGCGGCCGCCGGCGCTGTTTCCCCTCTCGAGTCTGATCGAGCCTGCACCCGATGGAGAGCTCCGGCAGCCCTGCGCTGACGCTGGTAGTGGAGAATGGGCCGCGGAAGGGGGAGATCGTCGAGTGCCTGCCGGGGAGCCGCGTGAGGATAGGGAGAATCGTCAGGGGGAACACCTTCACCATCAAGGATCCGAGCATCTCCCAGTCGCACGTCTCCATCGAGTGCGCCGGCGGCGGCGGGGGGTGGACGGTCGCCGACCTCGACAGTTCCAACGGCACCTTCCTCAACGGCGTCCAGATCCAGCCATTCGTCCCCGCCGAGCTCCGCGGCGGCGACGCAATCAAGATCGGGGAGCATACGACGATCCACGTCAAGATCGGTGAGGCGCAACGGAGGAGCCCTAAGCGGGGAGGCGGCGCCGCCGGCACGTCGGACGCGCCGTTGGAGAAACCCGCCGGACGCGGAAGGGGAAGGCCGAGGAGGGCGTGCGTCGCCGCTAGGGTTCCGGACGCCCCGAGCCTCGAGCCTGTGGATCCCGACGGAGATGGAGGAAAATCCAACGTCAGGGGGGGAAGGAGGAAGGCCGGCGCGAGCGCCTCCAGAAGAGGAAGACCTCCGAGGAACCCCGCTACTAGGGTTTTGAATCCCGTCCCCGAGGAGCCTGAGGTCGAGGAGGCTAAGGATTCCTCTCCTGTCGAGAGAATCAAAGCCTCGAGAGCGGGTGGCAGGAGTGGCACTGCGTCCCTCGCAGGCGTCAAAGTGGAGCCTGCTGCGGAGATGGCGGGGGGAAACCCTAGCGTGGACATGGAGAGGATGACGCTGGAGGAGTGGTTCCACAGGATGGAGAACCACTTGCCCAAGGTCATCCACGGGGTCGCCGAGCAGGTCATCGCAGATATCAGAGCCAAAGCCGAGATGTTCAAGGACTACGTCGAGCACAGCTCGAGCACCCAGCATCGAATCCCAGCGGAAGGATAGACTCTGGTGACCATGATCCTCCTCTTGTTTTGTCTCCCTTCCCTAGAGGACTCCAAGCCCTGACCCGATGAATGCTACTGTGCTGCAGGCGGGAGGCATCGAATCGAATGGATCAATGGGGAATTCACTCCTGCTCTGTAATTTTTCTGCATAAAGTTGCTTCCGGGGCCGAAATCAGCAGGAGGCAACGATATTGTGTTTGCTAAACAGATAATTTAGCAGGAATTGTACGGGGTTGAGGGCTTCATATCAGCGAGCACCACAACCCGAGCCCCTTCCTTCCTTTCTAGTTTCTGAGCATCTTGTTCTTCATCAGTGTTGACCTCTCCCTGAGTCTCTCCTTATCTATCTATGAGATGCAGAAGCACTGTTTACAGGAACAGAGACGATAAATTACGCAGATTTATACCAGCAAAATCCGAGCTCACCGATTCGCGACTCGGGCCGTCGGCTACAAGTGAGAAACCAGTGGGGAGCTCCTGCGCGAGGTCTAGCCTTGTCGCCACTACGGCTGCAAACCCCAGGACTTAGTTTTTTTTTCTGTTTATCCGTTCTGAGCTAAATATATAGGAGTAACCATTCTCTAACGCGGAGGGGAACCCACTTGCTTCTGTTCAGCCTCCGTGAAGACGCGGTCGAACGGGTCTTCGGGTGAGAGCTTGAGCAGTTGAATCACCATGTAAGTAGATGTGGTTACGCTGAGATGGATTAAACAAGGAGTTAGTGAGCAGAAGTCTTTGCTTCGGAAAGATGGTTCGAGCAGGCGGGAGGAGCGTGGACCTTCCGAAGCATATGAAGAAGATGATCCAAATGAGGGCGCTCGTCCAGGTTGACTCTTTGTATGTGACCCACACCTGAGGGCACCATTAAGGGAAGATCATTAGACATGGACAGCCAATGATTTAATATAGTTCTAGTAGTTCTAATGGTGATCGTTTCTCGTAGAAAGAAGGAAATCAGATTCAGATGAGTGTGGCACACCGCTATGGCTGCAACATTGACATAGAACTGAACCAGGAGTTCTGTCATCCACCTGCATGCACGCAACGCCGACTTAGGTAATGTAGGTGTGAACAAGAAGAGGATGATCTAAAGCTGGACGAGTGTAATTTTGAATTATTTTGATTTAAAGTTCGTCGATTAATGTCAAATCATGTCAATCATCATTTTACTTAATCGCAGTTGCCATTCTCTTGCTCACCCAGATGCTATTCTCTTTTCTGATAAACTCTTTTGTAATCATCCCTGTTTAGAATGCAGGGGTAAACATAAAATGCTGGCAGAAATTTCAGGTTAAAAATGGCATCTGTTGTTCATATATTTATCTGGATCCAAGCCATTTTTATTTCCAAGCTTGGACGTTTTGATGGCGTGGTGATAGTGCAAGATTCATGAAAAATAGAAGCCGAGAAATGACCCACGTAGTGGAAAAATAGAACACTGAAAGACTTTAAGTGAAGGGAAGCTTACGGAGTCAGTAGCTCTTTGCGAAAAGGTGAACCATCAGTGAGGCAAGTATAGATGAGCGTAGCTAACATGAGGCAGGCCAACATCGCAAACACGATTCTTCCAACCACAACGGAAGAAAACCCTCTACCATTCCCATTCCTGGACAAGGGAACAGAAAATCAAGCACTCTGTATTGATAACTGCGATGCAAAACTTTTCGAAATCTTTTTCTTGGTATTTGTTTTAAGACCACAAAGAGATTGGAAAAATTCACTGTTAATTATTATCCTTGATGATTTGTGAAATAAAAGGCACCGGCTAATGTCTTCTATTATGTCAATCTGCAATGCTCTTTTTTTCCCTGAAGACTCGCATATTATAAAGATTCTGACGAAACTGTCACTTCGAGAAAAGTATTCATTCAGGCCAAAGAATTCTGGACTTTCATTCAATTTCGTATCTCTGAGACTGAATCTCAAAGTTAAACGAATATCATGCAATCCCCATACAAGTGCCCAAGAAGAAAACTTGTTCGTAACAATGCTCAAGACTGCGTCATTAAGTTCCAGACATTGGCTAGGGTATCTAATTATGTAAGGTTGATATTATTATGTAAATATAGGAAGAAGAACACAGGACTAAATCTTTATCCATGAAAAACTACTGTTCGATATACAGTAATTGACAATAAAAATTGAATCATTAAATTCATATAAAAATCAATGTTGTGGAAAATAATAGAGGGAACGAAACTTCATTTTTAGCTTCTCAAGGGTTATTCTCTTCATGCCCATATTATAATAAAATATCTGCTTACAGTTAATCTACATGAAACTTTATTGAAATTCTTCTTTCAGTTAGGCATACCCCATGTTTTTGGTATAAGCCCTTAAAAGAAGGGTCGAAATAATGATGTTAAAGCTTTTAAATACTCAGAAAAAAAAATGTTTTAAATTTATTAAATTTCATGAAATAAAAAAACTAAAAATGATCTGATAATCAATGTAAAACATGCGGATTACGACCACTAATGGTCGAGCATCTATTTCCCTGCAAATATTTAACGATGCATTGATTAATAATCTGAATATTCAGGAAGAATGTACCCAACACAGTTAAATCCCAAGTCAGTGAGTGGAAACCTAGGCGAATAAAGATTGAAATACTATAAGATGATACTGTAAACAATGACAATGCTATATTTGGCCCCTCAAATAGCAATGATTCTGACTTACCTGACACTACGATTCTGTAAAAAACTGTAGATTGGTTCCTTTGTTGAGTCTTGAGGTGACTCTTTGAAAAGTTTCAACAGAATGTATGTGCATGTGGTAATGCTGAAAATATAAAGGCATCGTCAGTAACAGGCCCATTGAGGATGCCCACAGAAACGGTAAAAACGACATGAGCGACATTTATTGAACCAAAATGTGAAGCGGATAAGAGGGACACTGTCAGGTAAATAGTGAAACAGTCGATGTGAAATAGATAGGGACCATTTCTCGGCTCTTCCGGTTAAATATTTTCAAAAGTGAGCAAACAGACCCATTATAGAAGGACAAAAACAGTCACAAGCTGGGAATACCAACTAATAAAGGTTTCAATTTACATTATAAAATGAGAACGAAAACATTGTCCAGAATTGGAAAGCAGGAATTCAACAAGATTAAGAATGTAACACAAAGCGACAAGGATAGTTAAAATCCAACTTTTTTATTTTAAAAATTAATCGAAAAAACAGGAAGACAAAAAAACACCAAACCTGCCAGGGCATATCAACAAAATGATCCATACGCATCTGCTAATCCAACTTGATTCCTTGCAGGCAACCCAGATCTGGGAACAAAACAAATACCAGAAATGAGGCCCACATACTCTTTCTATGAACCAAGGATCAACTAGATAGAAGAAGCACAGTAAATCAATTAGTGGCGTTCTTGGTTAATATGATAAAAACTCACTCCTTGAATCAATGATATGTTATAAAAATAAGAAATACCCTTCAAGTAGAGTCACTCCACTGAGCCGACAAATATGTCGAAAGTATGCAATTCTACACAACATGTAGAAGATGAGAACTAATTTGTAAATAAACAGTTTTTCAATTCAATATATTGAGGAGCTGAGTACTTATTTGCATAGCTATGGCCCGAAAAAAAATAAAATTCTCAGTCCTATATGCCGTGAAGTCCACCAAATTAAAGCCTGTAATATAAAATTCCAATTTCTCATATCTGACCTTTCTGAGAAAAAAATTGGTAATTATACCAGAGGTGACTGTGGCGTTAAGGAGGTTCAAATATGCATATTTTTCTGTACTGACTTTCGACACGTTTCTATTGAAAATGAGTTAGAAATGGTTTGAACAAGGAAAACCGTAATGACACGAATGGATGCATTTCCAAAGGACATGATGATACCCATACTAAGCATATTTCATAGCAGGTGTTGTACGCACAGAATGACCACATTCCTCACTCCATAACAACCAACATCACATCTGCTACTGATTATACTCTGGTAACATGCAGTGCTAATTTACTACTATCATTACTGTAAAATCACCAAACCTGAGCTTTCTGCCAAACGCAGAACTTATGTTTATTCACGCGTAAAAGGATCTAAAACCATAAATGTAGATCACGGTAAAAGGTACACAGGGCAGTTGAAAGTTACCGCGATAGGCACGACGATAATATAGAAATCAATCAACGTTGCTGTCATCCACCTGGAAAAGCTTTCCATATAAATCCACATAAAGAAAGTAAAGAAACAAAAACGGGAAAACCCCAATTTCATTCCAATAGACAGGCTTTTCCAACAAAAATATTCGTGGAGAATTACACAGAAATTGTAAACTAAAAAAGATAGCATAGAATCAAGAGAAAAAGTCCGAATTCGGTGACCAGGACGAGAAAACCCAGCAGAATACGAGCCAGAGCATCTCGAATCTGCAGACAGGGGGAGGCAACTCACGGCATAAGAAGATCCTTCCGGGATGGGAGGCCATCAGTGATCAGCGTGTACACGATTGTCGCCGTAACGATGCAGTCCAACACGATGAACAGCACCTTCAGTGATGCGATCTTCGTGGTCGCTCCCATGCTGGCGCCTCTCTCCTCGGCCGGCTTCCAGTCAGGCAGCGTGCAGAGACGGAGACGGAGAACACAGGGAACACACACGAACCACATATAAGTGGATGAAAGAGGCGGGAAAATCGTGGCCGTGTGGTTGTCCACGTCCCCCCTCTAACCCAACCCAGACCCACAAACTTACGAGCGACTATTTCATAATGGTAAGGATCTTATTAACGGACCAGATTGGCGTGGAAGCCCAAAAGGCCCCAGTTGAGGTCGCATTCCTGTCTTACCTCCCACACGCTGCCTTCAAGGTTCCAGCTTCTCTCCCTCTCTCTCTCTCTCTCTCTCTCTCTCTCTCTCTCTCTCTCTCTCTACCCTTTCTGCCTCTGTCTTTCTGCTACATGCAAACAGAAGTACTAACCCATTTAGATATCTATCTCAGTGAGGAAAAGCAAATGGGGAAAGATGAAGAGATAGAAGGAGGGAAGGAGGGAGGGAGGGAGGCAGGGAGGGGGGGGAGAGAGAGAGAGAGAGAGAGAGAGAGAGAGAGAGAGAGAACAATTTTTTTCAATGGTTCAGGTCTACCTCTCTTGACTGGGTCAATGGTTCAGGTGGGTCTCACCGAATCAGAAGGTCAGGAAAAATTTTCAAATGCTACTTGGTTGCTTGCATGACCACTCAACAACATTCAAACCCCATCCTCTCCATTCTGATGGGCTGTCCTGTTGACAATCCGAGGCAAAAATTCAGTCAATCATTAGCTTGGTATGACCACTTGATACTCCTAGGAAAAATCAAGTCAACTACCTGTCCTTATCAGGGGAGAGCCTTTTCTTTACCTCAACTGCTCGGCGAAGCCAATCTTAGAAGGCTTTGACCAAGACAATGGTGAAAGAAGAAGACCAAAATTCAACTCACATGACTTCTTTATCAAAAAAAATGGTCAAAGGATCAGATCCACAGCTAGGGAAGAGGGAGAAAGCCTCTGATATTTGCCCATCCAATCGATGGCATCGCATCATCGCATTGGAAGATGAAAATATAGTCAACGGGGCGATGAAGTTCAGTATTATTGCAGTCGTTTGATGCATACGAGTAGGTGAGATTTCACACACAGGAATTGACCATAGAGATGGAGGTCTCGATAAAGTCTTCGCATACTCCCAACACAAGTCAACACTTGAAGATAAGTCAACACAAGACTGATGCGTTCACACATGCATTCATATTTATTTATTTTATATCAGATAAGAGCAGGAAGGATAGATAGGCATCGACAAGGCAGGCTTAAACTCCACACCACAGAAGAGGAAGCCTTTGGGGATTCCTGCTCTTCCTCCTCAGACCGCAAGTCAACACTATTTCCCTGATACAACGCAAAGAAATGAAGAAATGAGCCATTAGTGAACGAAATATATCTACATTTGGGGCCATCCCAAGGTGCTATTTCTTAGGGAGTACCATCGATGAAGAAGAGATAGAAAATGATCGCGATGGTGATCCCTCCCAGAGACCAGATCACGGTGGCGAAAGCGAATGGCATTGTCGATGAGAGTTTAAAGGGAAATAAGATGATAAGAATGGTCGCCAGCACCCATATAACGATCTTCAAGCGTCCCTTTCTTTCCGGCGGCGCCTCCTCGTAGGATCCCACGCACCAAAAGAAAAGCATCAGGATCGCGTAGGCGGACACAACAAAGGCCGCTGTCCATGGATCGCTGCGAGCCCGATAGGTTGCCACGACCGATGTATAGGTGAGAAACCCTAGAGGAGCCTTACTCAGGAAGAACCGGACCCAGGTGTTATCGAAAATACTCAGGAGGCCCGTGGACGGAGTCATCGTCGTGCGAGGCGGAAGAGGCGCCAGCGGTGGACCAACCGGCTGCGCGGCGCTGGGGTTTGTAGGATTTCAGCGTAGAAGTGGAATGAATAGGGTTCTGCACGGGAGGGAAGTATGATGGAGAGACGATCCTTTGTATTATCGGTTTGTAAAATAAATATTAACTGTAGTTAAACTAATTCAAGGAACTGAAAATAACTCTCATATTCTTTATTTTGATCTTGCAATAATCAAGTTTGTTAACTCAATGAGTATTTTTTCCTTCACAATCAAATATTTACATTTTCAAAAAAAAGGATCAACAACTATATTTCTCACGAGCCAACAAATAAATAATTAATAGACTTTCTCGAAAATTATTAACTCCATTAATCTATGTTTTTTGATTAATCTAAAAAACGACCATTCTGGTCCTTTTAGTGCCATGATGAAGGTTTTCTAAATTTAGGTCCCTAAAAAATTTAAATAAGAAATATTTTTTTTTACCATATTTATGAAAAGTCCCAAAGGCAATACAAAATAAAATAGATTCCCTTCATAGAAGCATCAAGTATATATGCCAGAAAATTTATTCAAAAATATGGAAAATAGTTTTAAAATGGTAGTATTTTAACTATTATGTGACCTATCAGAAGAGGGATTTAGTCACAACAGCCCCGTAGAGGTAGTACCATTTGTTGAGACCACTCTAATTTTATTTAGACAAATCGTAAATAATATAATTTTTAAGCCTTCATAGGAACAAAATCGAGATTTAATTATGTTGAGGTTGAGAAGGCGTCAATTTCCTATTATCAGTAAATTATATGTCTTGAATGTTAGCAAAAGAAAGACATGTGACTAATATCATCAACTTGTCAAAGGGTGGGATTCTAAATAGAATAAGGGTATAGGGTTTTATATAATTCAAATATATTTGCAACGATATGAAGGGGGGAGAAGACCATGGGGAGAGATGGGGTGGGGGAAGATGAGGGGAGATGGTGCAGGGAAGAGGACCAGGGCAATGGATGATTGGGAATTTCATATGAAATGATCTACTGTTGAGTCTTAGAGAACGATAATAAAAATGACGTTGAACAGAAAACACACTCGATCCATTTCGATCTGAATATGAACCTAGCTAGCATTTTGGCCTTCCAGATCGGCACATCGGAGAGATCAGAATCATCTGACTTTCCCTCTTGGAGTGATGGGATACTTTAGGAATAACTTTGGTAGTTTGTGCGATCTGAGGACCTAATCTCTTATTATCGCCACGAGATGGTTAGCCTCAGTGTCAATTTTTAATTTTTCACATCAGAAAATTAGAAATGACCTGGTCTGTATATACATTTAACCCATACTTACGAGAGATGAGGTGATCCCTAATTCATCCTTAATAAATAGGGATTAACTTAATAATAGCCCCATAATATATATATAGGTCAACCATGAGATGAAATCCAACAATGAGGCAAAGACCACAGGAGAGAGATGGTGTGGAGAGAGATGACTGTGGGAGAAGACCGCAATGAGAAGATAGTGTCGAGAGGGTGAGTCGTGAGTGAACACCGTGGTGGGGGGAAATGGTTGGGGGGGGAGATGGCTGTGGCAGAAGCAGGGAGATGGTGATGATGGGAGATGGTACGGGGGGAGATGGTGATGTGGCCTCCTAATCTGCTAATAAAAATATTTTACTGATTTTTTTTATAGAATATCAACGTGGAAAAATCCAACGCAGCCCTAGTGGAACCCATAATCAAGCCTCGGTAGCCCTGTTTCTTCTTCTCGTCCATCCGGGCCGGTCAACATCTCCTCGCTTACCCATCCACGGCCTTCTCCCACAGCCGCCGGCCTTTTCTCCGAGGGACGGTGACCATCTCCCCGCTTCCCATCCTTAGCCTTTCTCTGGCTTTTCTCCGTGTCCGCCATGATCTCTCCGCTTACCCATTCGCGGCCTTTTCCTAGGCCCCGTCACCAACTCCTCGCTTACCCATCCACGGCCTTCTCCCACGGCCGCTGGCCTTTTCTCCCAGGGACCGTCACCGTCTCCCCGCTTACCCATCCACGGCCTTCTCCCTGGGCCGGGCCATCTAATTCTCCCCCCTGAAACCAGGCCTTTTAATTCCTGGCCCCTTACAATCTCCCTGCTTCCCATCCTTAATCTCCCCGTTTCCCATGCATGGCCTTTCTCCGGGCCCGCCACGATCTGTCCGCTCACTCATCCACGGCCTTCTCTCTGAGTCCCGGCCACCTTTCTCCCAGGGCCCGTCACGGTCTCCCCGCTTACACCTCCACGGCCTTCTACCAGGGCGGCCAGCCTTTCTCCCAGAGCCCGTCACCATCTCCCCGCTTACACCTCCACGGCCTTGTAATTCTCCCCCCGTCACCATCTCCCCCGACAATCCACCCCTTCTGCAAGAGCCGTCCGCCTCTTTGCAGCCATACCATCCGCAACGTCTTCCCTCAGCCCAGAGGTCAATTTTATATAGACTCGAAGGCTATAAAATATCAACTTCTGCTAACCATGTCAACTTCTGCTATGGGTTTTCTCGCGATCTTCTCTACGATGGCTGGCATCCAGCCATCAGGGCAGGGTTTTGATTATGAGATCGAACGGTGAGGAACGTTCCGACATTCGGCCTCGAATCGGGACGGAACGTTCCTCACCGTTCGATCTCATAATCAAAACCTGGAAACCCAGAAAAGTCGGGGCCGAATGTCTCGACGATCTCATACGTCATCCGCATCGGGACGGAACGTTTCTCACCGTTCGATCTCATAATCAAGCGAGCCCGCCTGCTTACCCATCCACGACCTTCTCCCTTTCTCAGGCCTGCAACATATCCCCGCTTACCCATCCACGGCCTTCTCCCTTTCTCCAGGGCCTTCTAATTCTTCCTCCGAGCCCCCTCTCCCTGCTTCCCCATCTCCCCGGACAATCCCCCCTTCTGCAAAGGCCCTCCGCCTCTTTGCAGCCATAACATCCGCAACGTCTTCCCTCTCCACTGAGATGGAGAATCAATCAAGGCAGCAATTCGCTCTGGCGCTTATCGGGGTCTCCTGGACGATGACGGACGTCCAGCAACCAGGAGAGGGTTTCTGGCGCCTCCGCCTCTTCGAGCTTTACTTAGCCTTTGTGTACCTGACCTTCACGGTGGTGGTCGTCCTGTCCGCTCTCTCCCTCCGCCCCCCTGGAGAAGGAGCTGCTCCCGCGACGGCGTGGATACAGAAGTATGCGCCGTCCGTCGCCCTTTTTTCGGTCACGGCTGCCTTCGTGCTCAGGTCATGCCTTATCCTTTCTCCTTCCTCCCTACTCCACGTCTGGTTTTTCCTGGTCCCCATGGCGCTCGCCGTCGCGCTACTCCTCCACCTCGCCTGGAACAGGTGGAAGGACCACACCGCCGTCCAAAACACAGGAGACGAAGTCCCGCCGGTCATCGGTCGCCACCAAGATCCCAACCCCTCGTCTTTCACGCTGCTGGACTTGGGCTCCTCACCATGCTCCTTCTCGGGTCCGCAGGAGGGGAAAAGCAAATCCCGTCTCGGCATATATCCTTGAAATATCGTCCCCAACCTGTTATCTTCAGGCATAGAGTCGTCTGAGTGTGATTTGTGTCTGCCACGACAGTCTCCTGAGCCTCTGCTGTGTGCTCTGCTCCCTCATGCAAACTGCCCTTCTTTGCATAGAGTTGCCAGGATTTTGTTGAAATAAGAGGGCAGAAGTTGTCTGGTTCGAGCTCTACGGGAAGTCAACATGTTAAGTCCTTCCCCAGAAACCTTAGCACCGCACGGAATCTATGGCGACCTCCTAAGGTGACTAGGGAGCCATGAAAGGCTGCAGTGGTGATTCGGCCCATGTCCACTGGGTTCATCTCCCCTACACGCGCACGCGGCTTCTTTGAACGAGCCGGTCCATACCGGTTCTTGCAGCCTCGTAACCAACGTAACGGCGACCAACGAATTGCCATCGATGAAGACCTTGAACGCATGCTTTTTACAAATATTCTGATTTTTTTGTAATCAATCAGGTACTTCGGCGTATTGCGAATGGGTAGATGGGTTGGCAACGTCGCCCGACTAAAATTTTCAAAGGCCCAAAACCTTTAAAGATGAGCTTATTTCCTTTATTGAATGTGTTATCGAGCCCAGCTATGCCGGGCTGGGAAGATTTCCGGCCCATCAGCTCCCTTAATGCGAGGAATAGTGACGTTAATGCGGTTCTAAATAGTTTCTCTCTCTACATGTATTTAAAGTTTATCTCCCACGTGCGTTGGCCTTCCAGCCGTCACTTAATACTCTCCAACCCTCTTTTAGGAACGATCAGAAGACAGGAGGGGGGATACCAGCAGGGGCCGTTAAAATCTTGGGCTAGAAATGAGCTGGGCTCTTCAACTCCCATGCTCTCCTCTCTCTCAACGCCGGTGACTCAACCGAAAGTGCCAACTTGGATACTTGGCTTAAGCTTATTACTGACCTAATTACACGCCATTTAATTCGAAGCTAGTCGACAGCGAGGGATCACGCCCATCTCTACGATCAAATGTTTCTAGCAGTTAATGTGATATTATTCTCAACAATTAGGAGAGGTGATGAGTGCGAAGCTGAACGAAGGGGTTGGATGGGGCCGATTGGTGGGGATGGGGAGAGAGAGAGAGAGAGAGAGAGAGAGAGAGAGCGCCGGCCAATGTAACGTGGACAGGAAGGTGAGTACGACGCAGGATAGAATACGAGTCAGTCGGACAGAGAGGAGAAAAATTTATTGGGCCTAGAAGAATCGGGAGTACATCCGCCCCAGCCCAGTTTACGTTTCCGGAAATTTATGGTTGCTAAACCACATTTCACCTTCTATGATATCGCGTAGACTAGATCGGGATTCCAGGTTGGACCGAGAATAAGCCTACTTCTGGGCCAAACCCACGCACGGTTGGTGTCTCAATTTGGATCGTGCCCACCACTAAAGCTCGGTCTTGCGGCCCGTTCGGTTTCTGGGCTTTATAGAAGAAATGGACCATTAACGGGCTAACCTAGTGGGCCTCATGGGGATGATAGCCGTTATCACCTTCATGGGAGTGGGCCGTTAAAACTAGGCTAAGGCTTCATCACTGCGCTCCTTTGACTTGGGTCATCAGTTCATCGGAGCTGACGCGGATGTCTGACCTACTGTCCCACATTATCATGTGGCCTCGATAAACTGTCTCGCGGCACGAGTTTGGGAAAACTGGCTGCATGTCCGGTCGTTTCTAGAGACCAACGATTTTTATTACGACAAGCGATAGCCAAGCTAGATGAGAAATGAAGATAGGGAATTGGCTGTTGCGACCCAGCGCCAAGTGGGGCCTACGAGAAGCCGTCGTCTCTCACCACGTCTGTCGGCTAATGATTTATATTCAGCCACGTCTATCGGCGGAAATCATGTCCCTTAGGACCTAATTCTATATTTTTTTGCGTAAACTTATTAACCCAATAAATTACTTAACGAATTCATTCCCTTAACTATTTGACATAAAAGTAAATTTCTCTCTCCCATCACTATTTAGCTTGGAAGAGAGAGAGAGAGAGAGAGATTTACTGGCGACAACACTGGCGTAGCTCCGGTGTCCCTTGTCTTTCAAGTTCACAGCTGGGTTCAACGTCGGGCAGCCATCCACAGAAGAGCAGAGACGGCCACCTACGACGGCGCCATAGGGCGACGCTACTGAGAGAGATTCAATGGCCACAACATGGCTCTGCTCCGGTGTCCCCTGTCTTTCAAGTTCATAGCTAGGTTCAACGTCGGGCGGCCATCCGCCGAAAAGCAGAGATGGCCATCTACGACAGCACCACAGGGCGACGCTACTGAGATCGGGACGTCCGCCGTCGACTTCCAGCCCATCGTTGGCTCCTTGGACAGTGGCCACTTCAATGAAGCCGCGATGTTTTTCTTGCCGACAGTTGTGAAGCAGCCTCCGTGGCCGACTCCTCAAGGCTTCCTCTTTAAGAGCCACTCCACTGTCCTCTGGGCGTCATCATCTTGCCTCGAAACCCCACGATGGCCCCCCTGCAGTGGAAATTGACTTTCATTGCTGTCATGTTCTTAGTCGTGGCCTTAGTATAGAGGGCTTAAATGAAACTTCCCCTCTTTTCCGTCGTCCTCTTTATCCTCTTATTTCTCTTCTTCTCTCATTACACAATCTCATGTATGATCTGGACTCCTCTCATGTAGGATCCAAATAAAATCCCATTATATGTTCGTGACACTCGTTGATTGATCCAACTAGTGAGCCAGCTGTTAGAGCAAGACGTCTTATATGGACTTCAACAGAAGCAATGCTCATGACGCTAAGTAAAGTAAAAGAAATAACAACTCACAACAAGAGTACTGACATAAAGATTTTCTGTGGTTGGGAGGTTGGCCTCCTACATCCACGGGTGATAAGGAAAGCTTCATTAGATATGAAAAGTAATATAAGACAATCACTCCTCAAGAACTCAGAGAACAAATCTATGATCTTGACTCTCTTAAGATTTTAAAGAATTAATATTTGATCTTGACCCTCTAATGCACTCATTAACTCAAAAAATCTTCTTTGAAAGCTTTCTTCTAAATACTCACTCTCTATGATGAAATAAAGATAGAAGGGGGTCGCTTTGTGTTGCTCCAAATGAGGAGAAGTGACCACCCTCTATTTATAGGCACCTCGTAATCACCTCAGTAGTTGTGCCAATAAAAACATCGAGAAGTGTGCCAAACGATTTCAATTCGTAGCCTACTTAGTTCATAAATGGGCTGTTGAGTATGCGAGAATCGGTCTTCCAACTGACCGTTTCTCCCTCGCATTTTATTTTTTTTCCGCATTAAATGCGAGCATTAATGTGTCACCATCAAAAAAGGCAAGTCACATTAAACGACAAGCAACACTGGCTCAAGAGCCATTAGAAGGAAAACTAGTGTTTTGTCATACTAGTTCTTATTAAGTTAATTATCCACCTTGTACTCTACTGTTCTTGACATGTGTGTGGTATGTTTTTCTCTGAACCACAAAGATTGTGTACCACTCATCTAACTCAGTTATTTGGTGATTTATGTTCAGTTTGTTGTTTATTGTGAGATCTGTAACACTATGTGTTGTTGACTGTTTGGAAATATTTATTGTTATAAGGAAAATAAATTTGACATTAGTTCAGTTGCAAATTGGTGCTTGTTGTCTCAGACAGTGTGTTGCAAATTGGATCTCGAATTTTGTCTCAACTTAATTTCACAGAAATAATTTAGTACACAACAATATCCATTGATTTTATTGAAATTGTGACGGAAAAATTAGCATAAAATGGTATGAAAAGTATAATGTTATGTTCTTGGTACTTTCAGGCTCGTTTAAATTACATATCTGGATCAAGTGCTCATGTACTTTATTATTTTGGTTGAAATATTAACTGTTTATAAAGTTATTAGATAATTATATTGATACGTACAGACTTCCTAGAGATCTAGAAAAACATAAATGATGGCATCCTAATCCCGTTTGATAATGAGTGGCTTTGACAACACTTGGGAGCGACTCCTCATATCCTCAATCTACTCTTAGAGCAAGAACATTTGCAACAACAGCGCACACAGCTCAGATCAAGGTGGCGAAAGCAAATGGTATCGTCGAGGAGAGTCTGAAGGGAAAGAAGATGATGAGGATGCTTGACAGAAACCATATAACGATCTTCAAGCGTCCCTTTCTTTTTGGCAGTGCCGCCTTGTAGGATCCCATGCACCAGTAGAACAACGTCAGGATCGCGTCGGCGGACACAATAAAGGCGGCCATCCATGGATCGCTCCGGGCTCGGCAGGTGGCCACGTCCAATAGAGGATGATTGGAATGGAAGGATTGGAGGGGGACGAGCATTCTAGGGTTAGTGGTTTGGCACTCGTTTCGGCTTCGGCGGCTTTTGTGCTCAGGTCATGTCTTGCCCTTCTTCCTCACTACTGCGTGTCTGTTTTCTTCAGCTCCGAATCGCACTCCTCCCCCTCGCCTCGATCAGGCTAAAGGCCTACACCACCGTCCAGGACACTGGTGTCGCAATCATGTCAATCATCACCAAGACACTGGTGTGCTCAGAGCTTACTACTCAAGTCCAGAGGACGGGAAATGCGACATTGGTCTTGACACAACGCTCTGAGATGTCATCCCTAAAAAGTTAATACCTGCACGTATAGTCATCAGTGTGTGATGTGTCTACCATGAATGATGCAGTGGAAATGTTGACCTGATGTTGTTTTGATTGAGTTAGCACAGCTGAGTTGCATACTGTTGAAATCGCTTATTTGAATCTACAAAAAAAATGATTTATGGGAAAATCCTTCTATAAATCCACAAAAATAAGAAATCTTGACCCTTTGAGTCTAGTAAGATCAAAATGGTTCTATTGAATCATTACAGAATGCTAAAATGCATGAGTGAAGAAATAAAACCTCAAAAGAGGTAAATCTCGTGAGATTGATAGGCATAAACTTGAATGCTCTAGGGCTACAAAGGAGGGTTTTTATAAGCCGAAACCTAATTACAACTAACCTAATTGGAATACCCTTAAGGAGTATGATAGAGAGATTATTTTACATAAACAATACATGAAAATGATAAACATAAGAAATGAAAATTTGACACATTTAAAGTGTCCAAATCTTTTATTGGACCATTTTGTGCTGAATTTGGGCCAAATATAATCTTCAGACCTCTTGAGCCTTTAGTTTATCTAAATTAGATTGAAATTGGCTACATCATTTGTTCCATCTAAGCTGATCTGAAAATGAGGTTATATTAGAGTTGATCATTAAATTGTGAGACATCATGACACCTCTAAATATCTTGTCTTGGCCACTTGGGTTAAAAACTTTCTATCCTTCAGTTGACATCAATTTTTGGGCTATATCAATGAAAGACTCACGTGTGAATAGGAAACATTGGAGCCTCTATGGCTCTACTTCCTTCATGAAATCCCTTCTTTTGGGCAATCAATAATACAAATTTGCATCTCTTTGTTAGATTAACGTGCACTTGTAGATTCAAGCTATCCTTCAAATCCAAGCAAAACTCATTTCAGCCACCAAAGGCATTACGCAGAGGAAGCCAACGTTTCTGGACGAGGGCGGCCACCCACTCACAGAGTCCCTTAGCCACCATTATTGACTGACGAGTAGAGAATGTCCATCCTCCTCTCGCTCTACCGGAAGGGGAGGGTCGATCTCCTCTCTTCCACCTGAAGAACACATTCTCCTCTTGCCCAGAGAATGTGCGAGACAATTGATTTAAGATGTTAACTGAATTAAGAAATGACATTATAGATTCATCCAATTAATTATTTTGACATTAGAAGATATGTTCGTTAGAAGATATGCTCGCTCACATCCGACCCTTCCGTTCCCACCAAGGTGAGTGAAAACCTTATAGCTGTCGAGGCGAAGCCCTTCCCTCCCCCTACTACACTACCGAGCAGCCGGGTGAGCCATCACTGCCTCCTCGTCCGCTTCACGCGGACATGGGTCCCTTCGCGAGCCTCCTGAGTATCCTCGACAACATCTGGTTTCGGTTCTTGTTGAACAAGGCCCCTCTTCGGTTTCTCAGCTTCACATCGGTCATGGAGGCCTACCGAACCCAAAGCGACCCATAGACGGCAGCCTTTGTTGTGGCCACCTACGCAATCCTGATCCTGTTCTTCTGGTGCGTGGGATCTTAAGAGGTAGCTCCACCCGAAAGAAGGGGACGCTTGAAGGTCGTAATTTGGGTGCTGGCGACAATCCTCATCATCGTATTTCCCTTTAAACTCCCCTCGACGATGCCGTTTGCTTTCGCCGCCGTTATCTAAAATGGTCTTTGAGAGAGATCACGACCGTGATCATCTTCTACCTTTTCTTCATCGACGGTACCCCCTGAGAAATAGCATCTTCAGATGGCCCCAAGTCTTCCATTCGGTGTTATGTATATATTTCTTTCATAAGGGACCATCGGACCTTAAAGGTGTGTGGTTGTACGAGTATCTCGTACACGGTATTTGACAATAATTTACTCCGTCAGAATTTTCAAAGGAGGAAATGATAGTTTGAATGTTAATTCACTAAGAGCAAACTAACAAGAGTTCATTTGGATCCTACATACGAAGAGTTTATGCGTCACTAACGCATGAGATCGTATGATCGGAGAAGACGGGAATGACCAGCACTCGTAGAGGACCGCGGCTTCATCGATGCGACCGCTGTCATCTTCTGAGTAGAACCCGAGTTTGAGGGACGAACAATGGGCTGGACGCCGGCGGGCACCTCGGTCACGGCAGGGTCGGCTGATGGCGCCGTCGTAGATGACCGTCTCTGCTTTTCGGTTGATAGTCGCCCATCGTTGGAGTCAGCTGCGGACTTGAAAGACAGGGGCCACCGGAGCTTGCGCCATTTTGGAGAAGGATCTCGATATGTACTGCGAGAGGATTGCCTCGATTGAATCTCTCTCCCTCCCTCTCTCGCCCTCTAGCTCTCACAATCTCTCTAGCTCGCGGAGAGACAAACGGATGATTTGTCTGAGCATATTTTTGACATTGACATAATAGTAATTTTATGAATAAACAAGAAAGCTGTTTTCGCGGTTACCTGAATTCTACTGACATGAATAGCGGATCTTAAAAGTGGTAATGCATGTATGATAACTCAAGCTAGTTGGAATAAACATTCCAATAGTTTCACTGCCAGTTCTCTGTGTTTCAAAAATAGTGTTGATAGTTACATTTCAGGCGACACCCACTTACAGTTGTAATTATTTTTATAATTTCATTCGTAATGAAAGTAGAAGTGGAAGAAAAAGTAGTACAGGTGTCGGAGCTAGTGCCAATGGCGGTGATTTTAATATGAGAGGAAGAACAAGTAAAGACAACTTCAGAAAGAGTGAGCGAGCAAGTGGGAGAGCGAGAGAGAGAGAGAGAGAGAGAGAGAGAGAGAGAGAGAGAGAGAGAGAGAGAGAGAGAGAGAGAGAGAGAGAGAGAGAGAGAGAGAGAGATGAAGTCTCCATTCATCAACTCACGAATTTGAGCTGATTAATTCTCAGGGAAGCCACGTGGCGGGGTGGCAAGCTTCCATTATCGAAAATTTATTTTCTTATATAATTTTGGAAGATTATCTCTGCTGGCGGACATTCTCTATTGGTTCTCTAAGAACGGGATCAGGCTTAGGAGTGGATGTATTCTTATTTTTCTCTGTTCTTCTTTGCGATGATATGGGTCCAGTAGCTTGTGAGATCACCTTTAGCTAGATTTCGCTGCCAAGATCTTACGCGATGACATATCCAAGAGGTCGATGGGGAGGAAGAGAAGAGGCCCTGAATGGAGCAGCAGCAGCCCTGAGGGGAGCTACCACTGTCACCGTCTTTTGCATGCATCTCGCCGGTGGACCAGACAGATAGATGAAGGAAAGATGAGGGAGAAGATGAAGACGAGGATCCCCGTACAGAAGATGGCGTAGACGTCAGTGACGTAGAGCTTGAAGAGGAGGCATGAAGATACC